ACCATTTTCACAGTGCTCAGATGACGGCACCTGCATATTCGTCGTGATTATTTTTATCAGAGTAACATAGAATTATTTAAGGTCCCTCTCATGATTGACTTTCTCTAAGGTGACAATGCTTCTCTTGCACATGTTATTTGTCTTCTGTATCACATCATCTTCTTACTAACCATTTTCCATGTATTTTTCTCCAAATGTCAGATAATCAAACTTTTCTTGAAACTCTCAACCTGACTGCTCCCTTTCTCCCCACTGCAATATCTTCTTCCTCCTAACTATTCCTCCCCTACCCAGTGTAAATCAATCCCTTTCTCCCCACTGCAATATCTTCTTCCTCCTAACTATTCCTCCCCTACCCAGTGTAAATCAATCCCTTTCTCCCCACTGCAATATCTTCTTCCTCCTAACTATTCCTCCCCTACCCAGTGTAAATCAATCCCTTTCTCCCCACTGCAATATCTTCTTCCTCCTAACTATTCCTCCCCTACCCAGTGTAAATCAATCCCTTTCTCCCCACTGCAATATCTTCTTCCTCCTAACTATTCCTCCCCTACCCAGTGTAAATCAATCCCTTTCTCCCCACTGCAATATCTTCTTCCTCCTAACTATTCCTCCCCTACCCAGTGTAAAACAATCCCTTTCTCCCCACTGCAATATCTTCCTCCCTACCCAGTGTAAATCAATCCCTTTCTCTCCACTGCAATATCTTCCTCCCCTACCCAGTGTAAATCAATCCCTTTCTCTCCACTGCAATATCTTCCTCCCTACCCAGTGTAAATCAACCCCTTTCTCCCCCACTGTAATATCTTCCCCCTCCTAACTATTCCTCCCCTACCCAGTGTAAATCAATCCCTTTCTCCCCACTGCAATATCTTCTTCCTCCTAACTATTCCTCCCCTACCCAGTGTAAATCAATCCCTTTCTCCCACACTGCAATATCTTCCCCCTCCTAACTATTCCTCCCCTACCCAGTGTAAATCAATCCCTTTCTCCCCACTGCAATATCTTCTTCCTCCTAACTATTTCTCCCCTACCCAGTATAAAACAAATCCCTTTCTCCCCACTGCAATATCTTCCTCCCTACCCAGTGTAAATCAATCCCTTTCTCCCACACTGCAATATCTCCCCCATCCTAACTATTCCTCCCCTACCCAGTGTAAATCAATCCCTTTCTCCCCCACTGCAATATCTCCCCCATCCTAACTATTCCTCCCCTACCCAGTGTAAATCAATCCCTTTCTCCCCCACTGCAATATCTCCCCCATCCTAACTATTCCTCCCCTACCCAGTGTAAATCAATCCCTTTTCCCCCACTGCAATATCTTCTTCCTCCTAACTATTCCTCCCCTACCCAGTGTAAAACAATCCCTTTCTCCACCCACCCCAATACTATTCCTCCCCTACCCAGTGTAAATTAACCCCTTTCTCCCCCACTGCAATATCTTCCCCCTCCTAACTATTCCTCCCCTACCCAGTGTAAATCAATCCCTTTCTCCCCCACTGCAATATCTCCCCCATCCTAACTATTCCTCCCCTACCCAGTGTAAAACAATCCCTTTCTCCCACACTGCAATATCTCCCCCATCCTAACTATTCCTCCCCTACCCAGTGTAAATCAATCCCTTTCTCCCACACTGCAATATCTTCCCCCTCTTAACTATTCCTCCCCTACCCAGTGTAAATCAATCCCTTTCTCCCACACTGCAATATCTCCCCCATCCTAACTATTCCTCCCCTACCCAGTGTAAATCAATCCCTTTCTACCCAGAATGGCCCTTCCCTAAACACGCCACTAATGGCATTCTCTCCTTTCCATTGGCATTCATCCATTCTCACGTATTTGATTGATTCATTCTAATGCACTCCTTCCTTGTAACCTTTCTATCCCTTCATTTTCACAATATATATATATATATATACATTCTTTTAAAGACGACACCCTTGCCCAGCCCAGGGGTGTTCAAACCAAGACAAATGTTTAACAAATCAATAAGTACATTGTGAACCTATCATTTCATAACAGATAATGGAATTTACCACTCAACCCAACATAAAATTCACTAGTCCCAGGCACCATGCCCCCTACCAGCCTCGCAGACTAATCCCTTCCTAGCCTCATTTCATTATATCCCTTCATAGCATTGGAGACATCTATACTATTACATAAGACTCCTCAAACGCAATTCCACTGCTGGAATTCCTAAATAAAACCATAAACACTCTAAATAAATTTTGATCTTTTCAGCCACAAAATCAATCGACCCCAAGTGCTTGTATAATTAGTCTGTGGAATAAGCTCTTCGACTAAGAAAGAAAAAAAAGGCCCCTGGGACCTGTACCACTTACATATCCAATATCAGAGACTGTATGATACAACTTGGAAATGTTGTTATGAGACAGCTTTAAATCCCATATCAGCTTTATCAATGTCCAAAACAAATCTATCTTATTCCCTGCCAACAAATTATGTCATAAAAATCAATCCAGGCAAATGGACATCATTTCTCAACCGTGGATCCATTTCGCAATGTAAAAGCACATCAAATCTACTCAGTAACTCCACCAGTGAAGTTCAAGAGCAATACAGTCAAAATATTGTAGACATGTGTCCCAATTATAATCCAAAGTATTTCTGTTTCAGGGCAAGATTTTAAATTATGCTTTAAATCAAAAAAGAGTATTTGATCATAACTCAAAAATATGACATAAATTAAAAATACAACAGTCTTTTGTAATTTGAATTGCAGATTTCCTTACGCAAATAACACATCTTTATTTCTCAAGATTCCTGGAGACTGCATGGGTAATCGAAGTTTCTTTCTAACCAATGTAAGGGTGGCAGTAACTGTATCGGATCAATTTCAAATAGGAAGCATTTTTAACAGAAGTCAGCAAAATGTTTGTGAATGAAAAATTCTAGAAAAGATACAAGCTGTCACTTCAGCAGATATTACATCCCCATTGTATTACATAAAGTCACAGACAAATTGTGAAGTCACTGTTAGTAAATACATGTGTACCTAGAATCTATACTTCAGCAGATATTACATCCCCATTGTGTTACATAAAGTCACAGACAAATTGTGAAGTCACTGTTAGTAAATACATATGTACCTAGAATCTATACTTCAGCAGATATTACATCCCCATTGTGTTACATAAAGTCACAGACAAATTGTGAAGTCACTGTTAGTAAATACATATGTACCTAGAATCTATACTTCAGCAGATATTGCATCCCCATTGTATTACATAAAGTCACAGACAAATTGTGAAGTCACTGTTAGTAAATACATGTGTACCTAGAATCTATACTTCAGCAGATATTGCATCCCCATTGTATTACATAAAGTCACAGACAAATTGTGAAGTCACTGTTAGTGAATACATGTGTACCTAGAATCTATACTTCAGCAGATATTACATCCCCATTGTGTTACATAAAGTCACAGACAAATTGTGAAGTCACTGTTAGTAAATACATGTGTACCTTGAATCTATACAGAACTTAGATCAATTCTAAATCATTGATTTAACATTGTTGAACATGAAGAATTCTCTTAGATCTTATTAATCATCCCTTGGTAACAAAAATACATCAATGATAATGTATATTTTTTGTCTGAAACATGACATTTCACTGCCAAGCATTTGTCTATTGTGATTACTTTTCAGTTTATTACAACATAAAACCAATCCATTTCACAATAATTCTCGTAAATCAGGAAATCATACATAGAAATGTATCTAAAAATTACTGCAAAATTATTCCTTTTTGAATTTCGAATAAGTAACAAGTTTTGTCAAAATTCAACATTTCTAATATATACCAATAACCCCAACCTTATACTGCATTATTTTCAGGAGTAATTTTCACTATTTTTACAAAAATACTGCCTTCAAAATTCAGTTTCAGTTTCTGATGTGTTGTAGTGGTGAAAAGCTAGCCAAAATAAGATACCAAAAAAATCAATCTGACCTCAAAAATAAGCTATCCTGAAAATAAGCTCGTTGTTTCTTACATAAATTAACCTGCATTTGCTAATTACTATTAAAGTAAAAAGGCTGTATTTAGGGTATTATGGATTTCAAACCAAATGGTGCAATTTGTAAACGACAAAAATAAAGCACAATAAGGTATATTGTCCTGTAACAATAAACTCTGTATCACTGTTCTATAATAAGCCCATTCACTGACATGAGTAAGAGCATTGTTTGCCCTTGAGCATACTAGAGGAGGAAAATTTTTAATCTGTATTCGTTTTTTCACCTATATCATTTATTCTACCGATAGCTACATATAAACCTGCTTGACTCAGTAGCTCATTTGTTTGTTCATGTTTGAGTAATTGATGACCATTTAGTACAAACCTGAGCCTTTCATTGCTGATTAAATTGGTAAAAGTGTCGATAAATGCTAAATGGAATTTACGCGTCACGAAAACAAATGACATGTTGATTACAAACAACGAAACTGTTAATGACAATGTTTCATTGCAGTTTGTGCATACTGAGTGTTGTTACCGATAACATCTAATACTACAGCAACATTAAATCTTGGGCATTTTTTATTTCAACAATTTTTTTAAAACAAACTTTATAAAAACTTTGACAACTGATACAATAAGGCATACATGTAGAAATAATGTAACCTGGCACAAGTACCCAAACTTCATCGGCTGGTTTCATTTCAATGGAAATGTACAGCCTTTTAAGATATTGAGTGGTCTGAAGATTCCGACATCATCAGCACTAGTGATCAAATATTGGTAAAGTGTAGGACATGTGATACATTCGTATTTACCGTAATTTTCAAGCAGTAAGCCCATGCCTGGTAATAAACCCAGCAATACATATAGCTCTTAAAATAAAATTTTTTAACCAATGCTATTTGATTGTGCTGTTATAAGCCCATCTGTTGAATTCAAGTGAGAAGCAATATGTTGGCTTCCTGGACTTATAACAGGATAAGTAAGGTACGACAATTCAGGTAAACTTACCAGGACATCAAAGATGGTTTCCTTGAAGAGGTAATGTCTTGATGAGTCGAGAAGGATGCCACGGTGTGAGAATCGTGGGTAATCGTTGATGACTGTGTCTCTTATGTAAAGCTACAACAGCATTAGGATACAGCAATGTACGTGTAGCAATAGTTTATCTTTTACAAAACAACTAGTTAACCAGTTATTACACAAAATCCTATCACTAAATAGGATAAAATATTGACATTATTGCTATTCATCAAATATCTCACAAGTATGAATTTAGTTATATAATAAAATTTTAATTTCTTGTGTAAAATCTCACAAAAGAAAGAGATTACATAAACTAAATCAACTGACTGATGTTTTCAGTGACCTGGGAGACTGAAATCAAGGAATCATCTGACTGATGTTTTCAGTGACCTGGGAGACTGAAATCAAGGAATCATCTGACTGATGTTTTCAGTGACCTGGGAGACTGAAATCAAGGAATCATCTGACTGATGTTTTCAGTGACCTGGGAGACTGAAATCAAGGAATCATCTGACTGATGTTTTCAGTGACCTGGGAGACTGAAATCAAGGAATCATCTGACTGATGTTTTCAGTGACCTGGGAGACTGAAATCAAGGAATCATCTGACTGATGTTTTCAGTGACCTGGGAGACTGAAATCAAGGAATCATCTGACTGATGTTTTCAGTGACCTGGGAGACTGAAATCAAGGAATCATCTGACTGATGTTTTCAGTGACCGGGGAGACTGAAATCAAGGAATCATCTGACTGATGTTTTCAGTGACCGGGGAGACTGAAATCAAGGAATCAGCTGACTGATGTTTTCAGTGACCTGGGAGACTGAAATCAAGGAATCATCTGACTGATGTTTTCAGTGACCTGGGAGACTGAAATCAAGGAATCATCTGACTGATGTTTTCAGTGACCTGGGAGACTGAAATCAAGGAATCATCTGACTGATGTTTTCAGTGACCTGGGAGACTGAAATCAAGGAATCAACTGACTGATGTTTTCAGTGACCTGGGAGACTGAAATCAAGGAATCAACTGACTGATGTTTTCAGTGACCTGGGAGACTGAAATCAAGGAATCATCTGACTGATGTTTTCAGTGACCTGGGAGACTGAAATCAAGGAATCAGCTGATTGATGTTTTCAGTGACCGGGGAGACTGAAATCAAGGAATCATCTGACTGATGTTTTCAGTGACCTGGGAGACTGAAATCAAGGAATCAGCTGACTGATGTTTTCAGTGACCTGGGAGACTGAAATCAAGGAATCATCTGCCTACAGGGCAATAACATATTGATCTTATGTTTTTTCATAGAGGATCAGGACAACTTACAGATACATATGAAACAAGAATAAAACATAACCTGACACTGATCAAGTACAAATCATTAAACACTGACATCTTGATACTGATGTTTGGATTTTTTTAAGTCAAATATCTGAAACGGGCTATTTCACCTCACAAGTTTTGATATAGAAGAAAATATTGTACAATTAGAACCTTTATAATAATGATGATATCTTAAAGCTATCCATTTGATTTTAAATCTGAAGGTCAATCACAGCCATTTATTATTTAGATCCTTACTTACTGAATGATGATAAAGAGTATACAATTTAGTTTTACATCTGTATTACATTATTAGTGGAACTCTAATTCTCTTTAAATCCAAAATAAGAAAATAACAAGATACTCCAGAATTTCTGTTGATGAATTTCCCCACAAAAATCAATTCCATTCCTGAATTGTTTTAAACAAACCAATCTTTATAGATTTTTCAACCTTATATAGATTACAGATATAAAAGGTAAAATGTTGAGGTTCAAAGTAACCAGCTACTGCCAACAGATATATTTTTATTTGTAGCTAATCATTCATACACGACATGTTACACAGGGATGCATTGTTGTATAATACACTATAGAGTCTTACCTCTTCATTTGTGCCCTTGAAGACAAGCTGACTGAAGGTCTCCAGCCCACGCAAAGCACCCCACACTTCATTTGCCCATAAAAACGCTCCAGTGCGTTTGATAAAAAGGTCATCTGATGACAAGAGCAAATAAACAAATTACCTAACTATCTCACGTAATATTCTATCTTATTTTCTCTGTTTTTTAAAAATGACAATTTATACACATCTATTTCTCCAGACACAAAATATTTGTGTTCTATGAAATAATCTTCCACAGAAATTGCATCATTTTCATTTAATTTAATTCAATTATAGATAAAAATAGATTTTATAACAAGATTTAAACGGTCTTAAAGACAAGTAGTGAGAGAGTAGGGAGCATTTACTGACAGGGAGGAAGAGAGACTTACAAGACAAGTAGTGAGAGAGTAGGGAACATTTACTGACAGGGAGGAAGAGAGACTTACAAGACAAATAGTGAGAGAGTAGGGAACATTTACAGACAGGGAGGAAGAGAGACTTACAAGACAAATAGTGAGAGAGTAGGGAACATTTACAGACAGGGAGGAAGAGAGACTTACAAGACAAATAGTGAGAGAGTAGGGAACATTTACAGACAGGGAGGAAGAGAGACTTACAAGACAAATAGTGAGAGAGTAGGGAACATTTACAGACAGGGAGGAAGAGAGACTTACAAGACAAATAGTGAGAGAGTAGGGAACATTTACAGACAGGGAGGAAGACAGACTTACAAGACAAATAGTGAGAGAGTAAGGAACATTTATAGACAGGGAGGAAGACAGACTTACAAGACAAATAGTGAGAGAGTAGGGAAGATTTACAGACAGGGAGGAAGAGAGACTTACAAGACAAGTAGTGAGAGAGTAGGGAAGATTTACAGACAGGGAGGAAGAGAGACTTACAAGACAAGTAGTGAGAGAGTAAGGTAGATATAATGAGAGACTTACAAGATTCATCCATCTTGTCATGGGGAAGTCTTGAACAGGGTTGCCTGATCTTAACATTCAGTTCATCTATGTAACCTGCTTGCGTGTGGACCTCATCTCCATATTTCTCATACACATCATCTAGACTTGAACCTTGGGCATGCTGTAAATTGTCGTACATGTCCTGAACGCTGTCATACAAAATATAGTCCTTGTATCGCTCCACAGCTTTTTCAATGATGTCACAAGTCTCTTTGGAGATACGGAAGTGGAACTTTTCACGATCCAGTCGAAAGAGTTTTGATTGGGATGTTATATAATATTGTGGCAGTGGCCAAGGTTCACCTGTTGTTGCATGAGGTGCTCGTCTCACCTTTTGCTCCGGCATGACATACTGTTCATAATTGATGAGGAAGTCACTCCAGTCCCACATGATGCGCTGACTGTCCTGCTTCTTTGGTTTATTGTTGATTTGCTGTTGCTGTACAGGTGGGTTGTTATTTACCACAGGTTCCCAATTCCTGTTACTATCCTGGAAGTTATTCTCCTGATTATGGACTATATTGCCAACACCTTGGTCATTCACATGGATTTGATTATTGTTGTCACGTATAATGTTGTTCTTTGCTTCTACAACATTATCAGAGTTACCCTGGACCTCATCATGTGCAACATCACGATTGTCACTGTGGTCTTCAATGGGTTTCTGATCCGGCATATCCTGATTTCCAACAGGAGAATCGGCCAGGTTATTGTGAGCATTGACTGGAATGTCTCCTGCCCGTGGGGCAGGGTTCTGTAGCATGTTTGGTCCTCCTACCACATCTACTGCTTTTTCTTTATCTGGGTTACTATGTCTTAAAACGTTACCTGGTAACACTGGGACACTGTCCTTAGGATGGGCCCCGTCTTGGGCCACAAAATTCTCCATCACTCTAACTCGAGAGTTCACAACATTATTGCTTTCAGCCCTTCCAAAAGCATCATTATCATTATTATTGTTGAAAGCACTAGGTAAATTTGACTTGATTTTGTTTTCAATAATATTATTTGACCCACCCCCAATACTGTTAACACCACCAACAATGTTATTTTTAGCCCCGCCCCCAATATCAGCTCCTCCTACAATGTTTTTAACTCCACCTACAATGTTATTGGCTCCTCCCGAATTATTGTTGACTCCACCCAATACTGGTGCAACTATATTCTGATTGTTCTGAGGCACTACATTGGCTTTCTGCACAAATTCCTGAGATTTCCCGAGATCTCCTGGAGCCTGATTTTTATTAACTTGAATTTTACTATCCTCTTGCACTTTACTCCTCTTCTTTTTCCGCTTCACTCGTGATTTTAGTACTGGTTTGTCACCCGTGTCATCAACATTCACTTTGGTCTTACGTTTTTTCAGCAGAGAATTTAGATATTCTATACTTTTTTCATCATTTCCTGTTGCTGCTGCTTCAACAGTGTTGCTCTGCCTGTCTGGCAACCGCACTGTTAAAGAAAAGACACCATGAGTAAAATTTCATCCACAAATTGTACACATCTTATACTGTCATATCTAGTGGTCTGTTGATGTTACTTCTTTAGATACAACTTATTTTCACCATTTTCAATAAAGCTTTAATCAAAATGGAGGTATTTTCCCAAGAGTCATTACCTAACAGCTTTTTTTTCTATAACTTTCATTTTCGAAACTGTTTTCATTTTTCACAGTTTTATTCAAAACTACTAAAATATAAAACCCATTAAAACAACAACCTTCACAGTGATGTATTAATTCTATCAATAAGGCACAACTTTTTTTAAATCCAAAGGTTTTAGTTTCCATCTCTTATTCAACATCACTGTAGAACTTAAGAATGAGCATACTACTGTATACACTATGTCATGTAACTACCTTCATTAGGAGAGTTACAATTTTAACAAAATATACTGTCTAAAAAGTCACCATTCCATCATTATGTGCTTTTTTATTTCTTGTTCTGAACAGTATCAAACCTTTCAGTCCGTATACTAAACATGACAATTAATTTATCTTTTTTTTTATAAATTCAAAATGACAACAGAATGAACGAATGGTAGACCACGTCAAATTATTAAAAGACAAAGAAGTAGTAAAAAATATAAATGAATTAATGAGCAAGAGACCTAGCTGCCATGGTATAAACAAGACTGCTTATAAAATCTACAGGGTATATCATTTTCAAGTGTCACGAAAAAAAATTGTGACATTAATGATTGTAAGACTAAAGTGATATGATTGTAGTTTTTTGGGTCAGCCATTGTCAATATATGTATCCTATACTATCATAGCCAAGTTATTTCTAATGAAAAATAAATTTTATGCACAAAAATCCTATTTTTCTATCAAACTACTAAAAAAACTTCACCCTTTTCCAAGCCAGAAATGTGAGCCCCTGGGTCATGAAATTCACAATTTTGGTCAAGCACCTTTCGACATTTCCATTAATGAAGATCAATTGATTCTACCATATCTGGATGTTGAAAAGAAGATTTTTGAAATATGAGTCACTTTGATCCCTTTTAGCCCTGTCTATCAGCCCTGGAGGTCAGCCAGGATCAATATGTGCATACCATCAACCCATTGTCATTCTCTAATAACTCTGATCAAGTTTGAAATATTTCCACTTAAACAACTTATGTTCAAAAATCCAGCTTTCCTAAATAAACTATAATAAAATTTCCCCCCTCTCCTGGAGGAAATGTGAGACCCTTGGGTCTGTACATTGCAATACAAAGTTTGTGCAAATAAACCTAAATAAGAGGAAAATCCACATCAAAGTACCACGAGTCAGCATTATACCTGTACGTCTCTGAATACATGATTGTGGTAAAAACGGCTGTTACTGTTATGAACTAACTTTATGATATACAACATGGAATATGATTAAACAGGTGTTTAGGATTTTTTTCATGATTTCTTCTTGTGAGTTATGAAGATACAGCATTGTTTTGAGAAGTTACACCTGGCACTTGTACTTAGTTTCATGTGAACGTGTGTTAACAATCATATTGTAATCAAGAGATTTACGCAGATATCCAGAACTATTTAATAAAATTATGAATCCAAGTGACATTTTTTTCAGTAAAAGCATATGAGCTAAATGACTTTTGATTTTTTTTTTTTTTGATTTTTGAGCATTGAGATTTCTGCATTTTTTTCAATACAAATGTCATTCTCATGTACCTGCTTTGACTGACAGTACGTACAGAAATGTTCAGTAGTATTCGGATACACAAGTTTAGATTTTGATATTATAGTATCAGAGTGCAAGAAAGAGTCTTCTTTATTTATAGAATTGAAATTATCATAAAGGCAGGGTGAAATGGCAGATTTAGATATACATATATATCCATAATATTTGTGGTAGATGCATGTAGTGTACATGTGTGTTTATGTGTGTGTGTGTGCACAGGTGGGACAAGCAGTTGTGCATGTTGAAACAGTTGCCCCGAATATATTCTGTTTCTTTCACATTGTAATTATAACAGGTTCATAAAAGAACAAACATTTAACTCTTGTAGTTACATGAAGGTTAAACAGTACCGCAAGTTATAATCTTCATTCAGTTTCACTGTTGACTAACTGGAGAAGTTCGTTTGGACAGAGATGTCTTTGGTTGACAAATAAAAATCAGTATTATTTGGTCTTGAAATGTATCCCTTTAAGCATTATTTAGAACATCTATTGAAATAAGATAAAAGTTGTTTATTTTCCTTAAGATATGGTCATCAGCTGGTAAATAATAAATATCCATGTATGGAATGCTGTGACACAATAATGTACGTTACATAACCATCAACTGTGGCATTTCTATGACATATGCTATTACCAAATTTCACATCATGTAAAAATCTAGATATAAGTTTAAAGTAACGACTGTAGTTATTCTAGATAAAGGCTATGAATCACTTCAGACAGGGTTGTTTGTAACTAAATATAGCCCTTACATAGCATCCCTTTCAAAATAAATTAAAAAAGAAAGAAAAAACCTTTCATTTTTCACTGTCATACATCATTATGTAAACAATAACTATATACAAAGGAAAGTTTCATTTTAAAATGATTCTAAACATTTGTGTGTGAATATAAACGTGACCTTTGTAGTAGAATTTAAATAGGTTGATAGACTATCACTATCACCAAAGTTTGACATCATGTGTCACATGACCTCATTTCACATTAGAAATGTGCATATTCACCAGACTAAGCTAAAGGGGACATGGTCAACTTTCCCAATTGTCTGTGTTCTGAGAGAGATGAGAGAAAGACAGGAGAGCTTGGACTATACATTATTGCATCATTTTAGATTCTGAAATACAGCATTGTGAAAAAAAATAAACCAAAACCCTTTAAACTTAGCAGTGACCTTGACCTCAGAGACTTGATCTGCAAATAAATTATGATTCATTCTTTGAAAGTTCAGGAATTTCAGATTTCTTGATTCGAGATAAAGTCTTAATGGATGGATGGACAAACAGATAAATAAACACAATGTTTACATCTCTATCCATGAAACATTAAGTTCTGAATTTCAATGTTTCTGAATGTGTAGAACATGGTGTTTTAGTGTTATATGTCTGACAGAAGCTGACAATACTTTAACCTCGGACAGAAGCCAGAATTTTTGTGAGTGTAATAGATATATGCAGACATACATTTATCTGTTTAATCCTTGGGAATCCCACTCAACACAAGTTTACATATAAGAGTCAAGTGTTTTAAGGTCATGCCCCAAGGTCACCACTATCATATATAGCTGCGAGTCTGTGACCCTGGCTGTGGGTCACGGGAATGTGTTGACCAGGCCATACCTTGTTTACACATCCACCTAATCATGCTTAAACTTGAAGCCTGTTATCTTAAGAAATGTAACATTTGAGAAGATAAAATTCAAACCTGGGGCCAAACAGAGATTCTGTTTCCTTATACATTAATAAGTAAGAAACATCTTTAAAAAACACTGAAAATATACATGAACACGACAAAATATAAATCTTTGTGAACACCTGGACAAAAGTAACACAGCCAGGCAGGTAAAACATGTATACATCTCACATCACTGTAGGGATAAGTGTTGGCAAAGATTTTACATCATTTCTCTAATAAAGTCTCATAAATTCAAAAAATATTCATTAAAACTGACTCAAATGCTTAATTATGCAAATAAATGCAGAGCTCATACAATTATAACAAATACATGTTATAATATTTAAAAAGTTGTTCTAGAATAAACGTGATATAGTGGTTTCATCATTTATATCATACACAATGAATACTTTTTAAATGAAAACTCATTACATTGCTGTCTCTGTGTTGACTATGACATCGTAAAAATGTCTAAACAAGGGATCCCAGAGAAATCTTGGCATCTACCATCACTGGATCTTTATTTGTTTTTTAAAAGTTGGATCTTTTCCCATCTTTTCTTGCTTTCCTCTGTTTTCTCTCATAGATTACTCTCACACCTTCTCTTCAGACCTGATATCATTTTCCCTGTACTTTTTCAGGAATCTTCAGGTAAATCTTTCTTTTGTTCATATTTTGCCCTAGTTTAATTGATTTTAATTTTGGATAATGATTATGTTGATATTGGTATTTTAAATTCTTCTAACTTTTTGAACTGCCAAATCCGAGATGGTCACCTATTCAGCCATTTTTGTTTTTCCAATTATTCCAAAAATCAAAGAACATCAGGAATCTATGCATGAAATTTGAGAAAGATCCATCCAGTTCTTCTCAAGGAATAGCAATAGGAATCATTCTTTAAGGACAGACAGATGACAGACCACAGATGCAGGGTGATTTGAACAACCCACCATCTTATGGTGATGACTAATGATATGAGCTTCCCTAATGTTCGGTAATCTACAAAGTTTTTTTATATTTGGTGCTGAGCCTTTTCAAATTTTTATTACATACATGTATATATTGTATAGCAACAAGGGTGCTGATTATGTCTGGTTTATTATTTATTATGTTTATTATGTAACAAAGCTTACTGTGCAGTAGGACAGGTGTGAGAGAAAAAGATTACCGCATTAATAGTCAACGTCGAACAATTTTGAATTAAAAAAACCAAGTTTTATGTGTATTCTCCTGTATTTTTCCGTATTTTCTGCAGTTGATACACATAAAATCACATCAAACATGAATGACAACTATAGTAATAACAATGAGGAATACTTCTGAATATATTGTGTTATTGACAATGAAGACTTTTTAAGATAACAACATCATCTAGAAGATGGGCTACTAAAGATATTTCATTAAATCATGTAATAAATTCTGCATATCTAGTAATACTTCAACCATATCCAAAATTTGCGTTAGATGTTTATCAAACTTTGTTTACAACACACTACTTTTTCAGGTCCCTAGAAATTTGTTATACCCATTACTACTGGTAAGATTGGCATAACAATGTAACTATGGTTACTTTTCTGTAACAATATCTGCCACAAAAAACCTTTGTGATAATATATCTAGTATAGTTAAAGTTTGTAAAAAATTACATAGCTTACTTCATTATTGTATAGAAATGTGGTGACTTTTATACCTATTATGATATATATGTATAATATACAGCAAGTTTTGTCAACAGCTACATACACACTCATGCACACAGAAACTCTGCAGCGACAAAAGCATCTTAAAGTGGTTTTCCAATTCCCACCAGGAAACACTCCAAATCTTGACTTCAGGGCTGCAGTGTATGTACAGTACACACTGATAATGACTATAACCTGAGGAAGTATTTACAGATCAGGGAACACATACAACTGTTTTCTAAAGTCTCATGTAAGTTAACTAGCATGACAGACATAGATATTATTAAAAGTGGAATCCATTTATATTTGATCCGAACAAAAAGAAATGCAGGGTTACAATTTAATACAGGCTATATCAACTAGTGGTACAGTGCAACCAGAATACTCCTTATCAAGATGTAGAGTGGTGCTGTGGGCTAGAGCTATCAGTGTTCTCCCTTACACACTAAGTTCTCATCAAATACTTTGGGGAACCTTGTAAGCTTAATATTTTTTATTGGCTGATTTCAGAAGTCTTAATACGGTTGACAACAGATAAACTACATATACTAAATTTCTTTACAGTATCATTGGTTACCATTTCTGTTGATACAAATATTTTTCTAAAATGTTTTTCCTTGATAATTACAAAAGTTGCTGAGAACTCGAATGGCCCAGTTATCACTATGTTCCTATGTATATGTAAGGTTTTTTACACATGTTTTGCAGAAGAGCATTCCACACGTGTCATAGCGTTGCTACTTGATTAAACCTTCGTGTCTAGTAAATACACTTTATTCTACAACACTATCACCATTTTATATACATGTTTATTATTTCACATAGAATATTTTTTATTATATGAATATAACTTATCAGACAAAATTTTTAAATTGGATCTGTCTAGTTTAATCAATTTTTTTTATTTCTTTATCTACATACATGATATTTCTCATACAGTAAAAATAAAATCTTGTTTGTTTATCAACAACTGTAATGATAAATAATAAATATCATATTGTGCAGATATGATTGCTCAGATGTAAAAATTAATATCAGCAAACGACCTAGGTGATGTTAGACAGTAGAACTTTCACATCATGCAGATTACTGTACACACAAAACTTCCTTATCCTTATTTAAAACACAGGATATACATAAAAGTATTTAGTATATACAGGATACTATACCTGAAATGCTTTCAACAGATAATTTTTCCCAGGAAGGTTAATCACACATTTGTCTAATCACAAAAGCTACATGTTCTGCTCATAAAATATCTTCACAAATATTAAACTGGAAAACACTCTTTAAAAATCTTGTCCTAGTTTGAGTGAGGTATCTGACACTATCCTGTATGTCAAGAGGAAAGTGTACAGCAACTACGAGGGACTTACCCTGGAAGGCTTGAGGCTGCTGTTGGTTGGCTTGCTGTGGAGCGACTGGTATACTGAGCATGTTCAGCAGCAAAACTGTGCTGGTTATAACTATTAGTGTGCCCATTTCAGCTCCTTACATACCTGTAAAATATGGGAAAAGTGAAAGTACATTTACTATGTCATCTGTAACAATCAGCTAAAAAATACTGGTAAAATGAAAGTATATGTATATTTCAAGTCAATCTGCTGGTGTTATCTTCTAAACTGACTCTATACAATATGATTACTATGGCACACGGGTCCATGATGGATCTGGTATCCAGATTGGGTCAATATCTTGATATACCAGGGATCAGTATTACATGTTTCTTATTGCTGATTAAAGTAAGTTACTCCTGGGAATATCCCAGAAAAGGATGTTCAATGATTATTAATTGAGAATGATGTCATACATAACAACAAATCAAAATTAGCAATAGTTTAAAAGTCGACAGAAAACTCTCCAAAATAACAACTGAAATGGTATTGAGATGAACATGACTGGCACATGTACATGTCAATAATCAATTTTGTTTATTTCATTGAGATAATCCACACGATAAAAGGACAAGACAGAAATCTGTCATGAATAACTAAGATTGTGTAGTGCACCATCTAGATTTCCTCAGTTGCCTCCTTGGATCAAAATTTAGGCTCTAACAGCATCACTGCCGAGTCTTAGAAGGCCACTCTAACTAAGGCTTTTCTTATTTTAAAATTTCCTTTTGCTGTTAAAACAAAATTTCTTTTTCCTTTAAATTTTGCTTCGAGCAAGAAAAGATTTATTTTTCAAATCACTTTCAAAAACTATAAATTTCCTTCAATAACATTTGAAATTCTAAAATCCTCAATAGTAAGGAAAAATAAGTCTAGGTTTTCATATCAACATATATCAAATGTACTTGACATCAGTAGTCATTTCTCCCAAACTTAAACAGTACAATTATCTAAAATATTCTAGAAAGATGGCTGTAAGAATCAACAAATGAAGACATTTCCATATACATAAATATACCTACATTTGCGGGAATTGAAATAACAAAAAAACAAGACATTTTCACTTGTAATTGTTCCAAATAATTAAGACTTACTGCCACATCCAAAACCCATTTAGTCAAAATGAGATGATTAATTAACAGCCCTTCACAAGGTGCACCTGTCCTTCATTCCTGACTACATCCTGTTCTAGAGTCCTGATCACTTCGTGTTCCAGAGACTCCAAACCCAATGACAATTATGTGGTTATCTCTACCAGTCTCAATTAAATGGATTGCTACACTAACATAAGTAACGTGTAATTGATTGGTCATAGACTTTACAGAAAAAATAATTAATGATATATTGGTTGTATCTGGTGACCAAACTTACCACAATCACTGTGGTTTGAATCATTTTAACATTGATGTGCTGTCAGTAGGCATTCATGGCAATTTGAATGCCAACAGGAATTAAATTAAACGGGGCATGTTAGTTAGTCTTTATTTAGTTGACAATCATAGTTAAACATTTACAATTATCATTTCTCAATTCTCATCTTGTTACAATGGGAGATAACCTCAATTTGTTGACATTACTTTCAACATTCCTACACAGTTCATTATAAAAGCTGGTAGTAAACAGCTTACTTTGGTACTATCATGCAGAAGCATTACCATACAATGACAAATATAGCTGTCAAGTTGACAATCTTAACATTTATACTGACACAGAAGTTTTACCACAATTTGAAACATTTTTTTTTTGTTTCACATTAAATCTACACTTCTAATGAATTAAGGTTATTTATGAAGATGCTATTTCTGATTTTCCAAAGCTACTTTCACAACTTAAAATAAAAATTTTACAAACTAATCAAAGGATCCTGAACAGAATCTTTTAACGGAAAGTTTCAAATGTCTGGGTGTGTAAACTTCCTAACACAAACATACATACGCTGTGGCCAAGCTTGGATGGAATTGAAGCTGAACACAAAATATAGAAGTCAATACATAAATATTGTTGTACTCCTAGTGTTTGTGCAATGGGGCTGAATACGAAGACTAATCAGGATGCTCAAAGATCAATGACCAGCAGATAAGCACTAAATCACTGGCCAGTCTACTTAACTGTGAGGACATATACTGCCGTCACACCAGGAACACTTTACATAGAGCTTGTAAGCTTTTATATGAAGACTGACACAAACACAATTCCAAATAAAACAACAGCTTTCTCTCAACAATAAAACACACAGGTTCCTGTCCGTTTTCACTGCCATTGTGAGGGGAAAAGCCTCTGTGTCTTACAGGTGTGAAATTTAGAAAAATTTACTTCATATTAAAGTGGTCTTGATCTTGACACAGGCTTTCAACTATGAAATAAATCTAGATTTCTTTATTTACCCTCTATCACAATACTGCATCTGTATACACATGAAGGAGAGTAAGATCTAAATTTCAGCTCAGATTCATAATGATATATCTTAATCCTAACATACAACAAACACTACTATGAACTTTGAAAAAAATGTTTTCAGGCGAGTCCTTACCATTTGTAAAACCTTTTAATGAAATGCCGTTTGAAAATGTCTTTCAAATCCAACGCTTTCCCTTTTCAATATTCTTCCCTGTATCATGAATAGGAAACCGGTCATGACAAAGTAAAGGTTTTGTACCACATTGTTATAAAACTTGGTCACCAGTAAGTTGATATATATGTAATCTGAAGTACACATAAGGAAGCTACATGTCACATCCACTCAATTTCACATTATAGCCTTGGATCCTTCCTACCTTTAGTCAAGGAGATCGCAAGTACTCATGACTTGCAGACTGCTACTCTAAGGGTACATGTACAAGGAAGACAACTATATCAAAAGTAGAACGCTTGAATTTTCAAGACAAAAACATGGGCCAGAACGACAAGCTAATTACAAATAAAACATTTTGATAAAATGATGTCTAAATAGCCTTGTCATACTCCTTCCATACTACTGTTACTGCTGATTAATCCCTCCCACCTCTATACAAAGTTACCAGGTCTACACTGATTTACTGGGAAACATTTCAGTATAGTACTACTGTTACTGCTGATGAATCCCTACCACCTCTATACAAAGTTACCAGGTCTACACTGATTTACTTATAAAAACATTTGGTGCTAAATACTAAAGTTACTGCTGATTTTTTAAACTGGTTTTAATGTAACAATGTCTACACTAAATTACTGGGAAACATTTCAGTATAGTACAATGTGTAATATTGTGTTACTGCTGATGATATCCAATACCACCATTTTGAATTTCTAAATACAAAGTTACCAGGTCTACACTGATAAAATTACTGGGAAAAATTTCTTTATGGGTGTGTGATGAGTACTACTGTTTATATATGTGTGATTAATCCAAGCTACCACCTGACCATACAAAGTTACCAGGTCTACACTGATTTACTGGGAAACATTTCAGTATAGTACTACTGTTACTGCTGATGAATCCCTACCACCTCTATATAAAGTTACCAGGTCTACACTGATTTACTGGGAAACATTTCAGTATAGTACTGAATCCCAAAACCTCAATGAGATATAAAAACCTCAGTATTCTGACAAAAAAAAAACATACTCAGTATTAATGCTACAGCAATACATGTCCACTAGGGTCCTGCAATTAAGCTGTACTACTTATAAAAACGGTGCCTTTTGGTGCTAATTTGGAAAAAAAGGAAAGTATCTAATTTTTTAAACTGGTTTTAATGTAACAATGCAATAAATAAGTATGACATTCTGACAATACTAATTCATCATCAATGTGTAATATTGTGTTGAGGTCATTTGTGAGTGTTATAGGTTTATCAATATCCAATAAGGAAAGAACCCACTGACATTTTGAATTTCTAAAGACAGTAAGGTTGACCTTGTCCTCGACCCAACATCCCTAAAATTCAAAACTTCTCAAAAATATTTTGCTGCTTTATGGGTGTGTGATGATTGATGAGAATCCCTCTAACTTGTCAAAGATATTTCGATGTTTGATATATGTGTGAAGTTTGTTGAGAATCTCTCAAGCTGCTTAAGCACTGACCAACATTCACAGATGCAGGGACAGATAGATGGACAGACTGATGGAGAGGAAAACAATAATATTCCTCCGTTTCACCGTTAGGGGTCTAAAAATCTGCCTATACATGGTGTATATATTAGTACATTACATGACTTATATTAAACTTGGACAGAAAAAAAAATTTGGCTGACTAATGTTGCTACCCTCGGTGTATCTATAACAATTATAAGGTCTGTGAATTAAAGTCTACTTGACAAAGAGTTAACTTTGGGCGGTACTGATCACTTAATCTAGTGTTGACTGGCACAGCGATGCAGGGTGTTATGTGAGGATGACAGAAACCTCAGTGATCAATAAATACACAGCTATTGCTTCTAGTCTGAATGCCCACCAAACAACACACACAGCTGGCTGCCAAATCATTTGTATACTTCCACAGTACTCAAAGTGTGCAGACTCAACTATATATATGTCACTCAAGTCATATGAGCTGATTAATTATATGATTACTAGTATATAGAGAACCATACATGTCAATCTAAGTTATTCAACCTACAGAATCATACTTACTTACAACATTCAACCTACAAAATCATACATACTTACAACATTCAACCTACACAATCATACATACTTACAACATTCAACCTACAGAATCATATATATTTACAACATTCAACCTACAGAATCATACTTACAACATTCAACCTACAGAATCATACATACTTACAACATTCAACCTACAGAATCATACTTACAACATTCAACCTACAGAATCATACATACAACATTCAACCTACAGAATCATACTTACTTACAACATTCAACCTACAGAATCATACATACTTACAACATTCAACCTATAGAATTATATATACTTACAACATTCAACCTACAGAATCATACATACAACATTCAACCTACAGAATCATACTTACTTACAACATTCAACCTACAGAATCATACATACTTACAACATTCAACCTACAGAATCATACTTACAACATTCAACCTACAGAATCATACATACTTACAACATTCAACCCACAGAATTATACATACT